TTTTCGGGTAGCCGGCAATCGTCAAGCGTGCAACCTGGTGATCAAAGCTGACCGGCAGTCTATGCTGGCAGCTTTTTGTAATGGCTGCGTGAAGGCAGGTGCGTGCAATCCCACGTTTTACAAACTTTGAGTGGGAACTGCCGAAAGAAAGGGGACCTTTTTTAGTTAGTAGAATATAGCTCCAGCACAAATGATCCTTAGTAAAAATAAGCTGCAAGTCTAAAAACTGAATACTGCCATCATTAGGTATTTCCCAAATGAAGTTCAGTCCGCCGGACAGCTTTAACGAAAGAGCGCAGGAACAGAAGCTAGCCGTACGGAATTAATTTGCGTGGGCGTCTTGCGGAGCACTGCAAACGATGTGGGTGTGAACTTTTGTTAGAGCACACAAGGTTTATAAGAAAGGGAATAAGAAGATGGAAAAATAATGAATCGAAGCTTTTTGTATAGACCAAGAGGCTGACAAATGCGTAAGTATGCAATCCCTTTATCTACGAAACTAAAAAATAGTGTTTTTGAGGGTTGTGTGTAATGAGCGATAAGAACCTTTATCAGTCGCATGTGTTTAGGCGGTGGGGATCGACAGTTTGATGATGTTTCGTGTTTCATTAAATCAGTTGGAAGTTGGCGCCTGTCCGTGTCGCACGTGCGTCTTATATTGTCCGGTTTTGTTCAGGACTTTCAACCTTTTAATCGATATGTACCAACTAGCCCCAACTAAAACTTTAATGCCATTCGGGTTGTGTAATGCTGCCGCAACGTTCCAACATCTGATGGAGAAGGTTCTTCAGAGACTGACCTGGTCCGCGTGCCCTGTTTATATAGACGAAATCGTGGTCCTCGGGGAGACGTTCGCCGAACACTTTCACAATTCTTGGGCTGGTTGTCCAGCCACTTCAGGGCGCCAACCTGAACCTAACTCCCAAAATTGAACCCTATTTGCTAAGAAACTTGGTACCTAGGGCGTGCCATTTCAGCTCATAGAGTTTCTCCTGACCCAGCCAAGTTATCTGTTATAACCAACTCACCGACCACGACTTCAGGTGCGGACGTTCTGAGCTTCCATGGCTTGGTGACTTACTACCGGGGATCATGACTCCTGCGAGGCACTCAAGCAGGCATGGCATCGCCCCCTTCACGGGTTTACTCAAGAGATGACGTCCTATTTATTCTTGACAGTGATGCAAACAACACCACGGCCGCTGGCAGCCTATTCCAAAAACAAAAGGGCCAGGAGCGTTTAATCGGGTATTACAGCTGATTCTTCACAAAACTAAAGCGTAACTATTGCGCCACAAGACGTGAGCTTCTTGCTATAGCTAAGGCGCTCTCTGACTGCAATCACTACTTGTGCGGCAAAAATTCATTATTCTTACAGAACACAAGGCTTTGACATGGTTGCTTGGTTTCAAGGAGCCAGAAGGACAAGTTGCACGCTGGCTAGCAGAACTCCTGCAATACAACTTTGAAACAAAGCATCGTGCCGGGTCACATCACAGCAACGCTGACGCCCTCTTCAGACTCCACAGTTCTTGAGTGTGGTCCGCCGTAATTTGGCCCCGATAGACACATTCTGCCGGGTAGCCTTCTCTAACGACACGTGGTCACCTCAAGAGATCCAAGAAGCCCAGGTGCGTGACCTTGCTGTCGGCTTATGTGTCCAATAGAAGCGAACCGGTCGTCGACCACCACGTATCGAGATATTGCATCTTTCTCTAGACGTCTTAAGCTATTGGGCTAAGCGTGACACGCTGGAATTTCGCAACGAACTTTTGTATCGACGCTGGGAATCACCTACTGGTGACCGAGTAGTGTGGCAGCTAGTGGCACCACCCGACTTCCGCGCCCAGGTCTACCCACAGCTTCACAGCAGTCCCAAAGGAGGCCGTTTCGGCATCAACCGCACTTTTCGGAAAATTCGCGAGCGCTTCTTCTGGTGGCAGTGCCATAACGACCTTAGGTTATGGTGCCGGCAACGTGGCATGTGCGCTTCACGTAAGTGTCCACACAAGCAAGTGCACGCGCCATTGCAAGAATGCATCAGTGAAGCACTACTTGAACGTATCGCCATCGACGTTCTAGGTCCATTACCACAATCAAAAACTAGACACCGACATGTACTCGTTACTGTAGACTGCTTTTCGAGATGGCAAGAGACCATAACCTTTCCTGATCAGACTGCCCCTGCTGTGGCAGATTCTCTGGTGACTCACTGGACGTCTCGATACGGCGCACCCTTGTCGCTGCATTCCTACCATTCGCGGAAATATGAGTCCGAAGTATTTCAAGACGTTTGTCAGCAATTTAACATAACCAAGACAAGAACAACGCCACTGCATCCTCAGTCAAATGAACCCTTTGGAGCGCTTTAATCGCGCCATGCTGCAGCATTTCACAACGTTTCTTAACTGCCATTAAGACGACTGGGACAACTTTGTTCCTTTATTTCTGTACTCCTACCGAACAGCGGTCCATGAAGTCACCAAGTATACACCTGCTATGATTATCTTTGGGTGGGAAATTTGCATGCCATGCGACCTTGTCTTCTCAAGACCACCAGACCGTCCCTCTCAACCGTAGTCATACATTAATGACTTGATGACACGTCTGAAACACCCCTAACTTCGTCAGAAGCCGCTTTTCTATCGGCTTCCAGCGCATGAAGGCACGCTATGACGAGCACAGCATGCAAGAGGCTTTTGAACCGGGTGGCAGAATGTGGCTGTATAACCCCCTAAGAAAACGAAAACTTTCACCGTAATTTCAAGGAAGCTGGCAAGGGCCGTTCACCGTTGTCTCGCGTCTTAACGACATGGTGTACCGTGCGAGACACCAGACCCGTTGCCGCGTGTTTGCGGTACACAGCAACTGCCTTGCTCACAACGAGGGCAGCTCCACCTAATATAAAAATCAGAAGTAGTTATATTTTGGAGGGGGAAGAGTGTGGCGTGTATAGGAAGAGGACGAAGACGTCATGTCAGGGACAAACAGGGAACAGCTTGGGGCAAGAGACATGCCCCTCTTTAAATGTGTAGCCAGTCAAGATGTTGGAGGACTGGCTACACTGCTAACAAGTTTTGCGCAATATCCCCCAATGATTTCACGCATAGGTTGCGGCAAAAATTGTCTTGTCAGTCACCAGAAATGATTAGCAAACGACACATTTTTTGACGTCCGACGGCTCTCTTGTGAGGCGTTCAAGTGCCGAGCGACGGTACTTTAAACGCGCATTCAAGTGTAGTCCGAGGATTTTAAACAAAAGTCATGCTTATTATGACCTAAGCTCCATCGAATACTTGTGACGAATTTGTTTTATCATGAAACGCGAACGACGCAAACGCCAGGGCTCTATGGCACTACTCTGCCGCAATAAGACAATAATATATATTTAACAGTATTAAGATTTCGCTATGGAACTCATATGAATTTCATGTATATGTACTTAACATATGTATGATCTATTATATGTGTATGATGTATTACATGTATAGGATGTATTGTATATGTATGTTGATGCTCGCTGCATACCAAGAGGGGGTTAAGGCCTTGTCAGGCACTCGTGCCTTTAGCCTTAGACCCCCTCTGCGGAACATGTATCCGCAGACACAAATAAAGAAGAAAAAAATGCCGGCAATATGGCGCCAAGGCACTGATCACAGACGACAATGCAGGTTTCGATTTCTAGGCTAACCGGAAGTGAAGTCAAGTGCAAGAAGCCTGTGTAAAGCTGTCAAAAAAAAGCAGTCGGAATAGGTTGCCACGTCTCTCGTCAAATTGTAACAGTCGGTTTATGGTTCAACATGCAAGAGGCGCCGTATGCGGCATTTTAACTTTTCCGGCTAGCAATAACCCGGTTTTAAGAAAACTTGTGGCCCTAGTACATAATTATCGGGAAACAAACAGATACAGAAACGAAGACCAGGACACGGACATGTCCGTTTACCTCCGTCGTGTTCGTCTCTGTTTGTTGAAACATGTGTTATGAGCACTAAAATTGGCTGACTCATACTGCCTGCCGCTGACTGTGTAGCCGAAAACGAGAGAAATTAGGCCGAGGCAAGTTCAAACTGCGGTCACTCTGATGACATATCAGGAAAAAGTTGAAAGACGTTTAGAATTGTCTCTAATGCGAAATTAGAGCGCATTCTTGAGGAGGAGGAGGGGAGGGTACGGAGATGAGGGTATGCCTCTCCTCTCCCTACGTACTCTTTCGTCCTCCTCTCCTCCTCGCCTTCCATTTAGCGGGACAATTTTCGCTAATTTTGCCGCTAAATATAGCAAAAATTTTCCCGCTAAAGTTAGCGAGAAATTTAGCGAAAATTTTCCCGTTAAATTTAGCGGGGTAAGTTTCCCCGCTAAATGTAGTGGGGAAATTGACGTCGCATGACCTGAACACCAATTCAGTTTCCCCGCTAAATTTAAAGAAGAAACTTTGACGTCCCATAATGCAATGCGTGCGGTTACGCCGACGCCGACGCCGCTCAACCCGGAAACGGGCGCCTAAAGCCCGGTTCTCACATGCAGCGAAGCGCTAATGTAGCGCTCCTCACGTGCCGTCAGCTACTTATCGGCTGCCATGAGCAACAGTTTTGATGGTGCGATACAAAGCTGGTGAACGCTCCCGTCAGCACGCGCTTAGCGCGAGGTAAGCGCTGTGCTGGTAGCGCTCCGCTGCATGTGTGAACAGGCCTTAAAGCTGCGCTCTAAGAAAGAGAGCCTGGAGAGTACTACCTGGAGCGGATTTCTTTTTCTTATAACGGTGCTAACACATTGGTCTTACGAAAATGTCTGAGAACATGTTGGAAGCGTACATATGTACAAGGCAGAGTTGTTTCGAACATGCATTAGGCATATCCGCAAATACTTCTGTTATCACGTAAGCATCGAACGTCCTGTCTTTTGTGTGAAGTGCATGGCCAGTGTGACGTGCGTCCTGATCGAGTGTGGCAGCGTTGGCACCTGGCCGTGCCTCAGAGCGACCCGCTTGTCTGTCCCAGTAGTCGGCACCTGCCTGCCGGTGTACGGCCAGCGCGAGGGCGAGCAGTGCCAGCAGGACTCGGACTGCGAGCGAGGCCTGGCCTGCCTTCTGCCCAGGGCCCCGGCGGGAACCAGGCGCTCCTGCCAGCTGCGCACGCGGGAGCTACGCAAGAAGCAGTTCAGTGAGTGCCCCTCCCCCCTCCTTGGGCATGCGCTAGCTCGATCGAAATAAGTTCTCTAGTCTGCAGGGTCAATGGCGGATCTGTTCACCGTTGACCCTAGCAATTTTGCTGGTCTCGTTTTTTTTTTTTACAGGAAGAGAGTTACGGCTCGAAATTTTATCACGTAAATTATACCACATAAGTGCACAATCGGTGAAACTTTTTTTGCTCAGGCGCCAATTTTTCCAGCTCGTTTTACAACACTAAGCTCCGTTGTAAACAGTTTTTCGTGAAAGTGTGACTCTAGATTATGCCAGGTGCTTGCGCCACAAGCTTTGACGGTGTTATTCTCTTATAAAACCAGTATATGGGCACGTTTCGTCGTCTATTCTAAGATCGCGAAGCTATAAATTATAAATGCGCGACCACACTAGCCGCGACATTCGGCACCGGCACGCTGATAACCGGCGTCAGTGCCTGGCGTCCACCAGTGAACAGGCCACATGGACCTCCGTCAGAGTGGGAGTTTGAATGAGGGGTGTAGCTTGTGGCCCACTGGAACATTACGCAATGACAAAATATGACGTTTTATGGTATAGATAACACGTCATAGTTTGACATGGTTACATGGTTGCCAGGACTGCCGAACTCACTAGCTCAAAGTTGGCAAACAACCGTATGGTCACGTTGAAATTGTAGGCACTGCACGTATGTAGAAAGCAGGCTCGGTTTCACCCCAAGTGCCAGCGGAGCCGAACCTACAAGCGCGAGCATCCTGCCCTTAACTAGGGTGCACTAGAACTGTGAGGTGTGCCGACCGAGTCGCTTTCTCCTTACGAGCTGGGTGTTGCGTGGCCCAATTCTGCCGCAGGGTCCTGGTGTTGCGCTGCCAGTCACAGAGTGCCCAAAGAGGCCGGTAGGACAGCGTATGACGTGGAGCGTGCTGCTTGTTCTTCGTTGTGCGTGAAGCGATAGAATAGTGTGTGGCTGCTAGCTGCACCAAAGAGAAAACGGACTCACAGCGATGTCACACAATGCAAAGAAAAAGACAGAGCAGTGCTGTTATGTACAAGGGAGCAACGTGGCTTATAACATGTAAAGAGAAACAGTCCTTGTTTTGGACGCCGAGCGACAGCTCTTTGTTCGCGGAATGGGATCGTGTGATTCCAAGAAAAAAGTCCACTGCATCAAGCGATTGCATTTTTTTGGCTGAAAAGAAAAAAAAAAATGATGCAGGCAAAACAAGTCTAAGTGTGACCTGTATGACATGTCAAAGAAAAAATATTTCTCCAAGTGGGATTGCTCTTTAATAAAAACAGCAGTTGAAGTTGCTCCATTTCTCTTTCCAATCAGTATTGGTGTTTACTTTCTTTGCCGGAGAATGCAGAAGTAAAAAAAAAACAAAACAAGCTGGGTTTTATTCCTTATAACAGAAAAATTCCTATAACAGAAAAAGGTATAGGTATTTATAAGTCTGCAAAATGTACAGCTTCCGAAAAAAATATTTAAACGGGCTTTAGCACTAAAGTTGAGAGGCATGCATCGCACATCATATCATGCACGAACTTCGCTTTTTCTAATGCTGATATGTAAGGTGATAGAGACAATTATCCTTTTATATCAGGAAAACAAAACAAATCAAAACAAAATGAGAGAAGTGAGTCTTTGTAGCTGACCGCTCCCAAGGGGCATTTGCGCTTGGAATAAAAGCGTGACTTGCGTTCGCAAGTCACGCTTTTTTTTTTCCGCAAGGGGGTGAGATAGGATGTAACTTTTCTTTTTCCCAACCGACCAGAGCAAAACAAACGAAGAATACGACCACTTTTACGTCGAATCAAGCGTCTGTGTGGCGACCGCTAGGCCTCTGTCAGCCGTCGGATGACCCGCTGTCTGCCCGAAACCACTCTCACCGGCGTGCTTGCGCATCGCCACACACTCGTGGCTACCAGGCGGCGCACTTCCCCATTTCAGTCAGCGCACAAACGCTCGTGCCCGGCAGGCGCGTTTAAAGCATGAGTTTCTTAATTCCAAGTTTGGCGCCTCATTCGTCGTGCAAGCATGTGCAGCGTGCGCGTGAATTTAGCATTGGCAAGCTTGTAGATGCACGCACTTGCCAGCACGAGCAGAAACATGGCGACGGCCGGATACCCTCCTCGAAGTCGTCTATTAGCGGCGAGATGAAGGGACATTTTGTCACACACTTTTATTTTTATTTTTTTCGTTCAGAAGCGCGTGAAAGAACCTGTCCCGCCACGCGTTTGTGGCGGTGACTGTGCTATGGCGACATTTTGTTTTCGTAGATTTCTTTGTATTTTCCCCGTGAGCGCGCGCTGTTGGCATCGGGTACTACAAAAGGGTGGCATCACCCTAAGCAGAAGGACATTGAGGCACCCTAGCGAGATGTTTTGGTAGCGCCTCCCAATGGTTTCCTTTCGTGAAATCATTACCTTGCGAACAACAAGTGTGATGGTGTTTGTAAATAGCATGGTGGTAGCTTGAAATCATAGCGCTCTCAAAGCAACACGGCCAACACCGTCGAAATTTAAGTTCTTACATTCCTTTTATTTCCGCTGATGATAAATTCTTTGTTTAGGTCATAATTAGCATTCGTCTAATCATGGCAGGCCGACCCCAGCGACGCTTTAGATCGCGCATGTCGGGCCTCCTGCGCTGAAGCTTTGAACAAACTATAGCGCCCTCATTTTGGGTAGTACAAGCTCACCTGATTGGGCATAGCCCTACTTATGGCACGTTGGTCAAGCTTTTTCAATTCTATGTGGTGCTAAAGAGCGAAAAAACAACTTTGGACGCCAGAAATCGACCAAACTCAACGTTGCAAGAGAATCGAAAGTGCCAAATTCATGACACCACCGGTAGGGCACGCGTCTCTTACCTCTGGGTGGTGACGTGACAACACCTGTGTCGCGACGCTTCAATTTTTTTTTCTTTTTGATGTCTACTTTGGAACGCGTGAAACGGCATCTCTTGGCTCACACTCTCAGCGTCTTAGCTCTGACGGCGTTCGAATTTTTGTTCTGTCTTTGCATTTTCACCGTGATCTCGCGCTCCGCACCAGAGCAGCACGCTTCTGCATGCGTGACAGTTTGAGACGCTAAAATTTGTACTACCCAAAACAAGTACTAACAAGTCTTATTCGCAGCACCCTCTGGGCAGCGCAGGAGGCCCATAGACGATTGCAAGCTAGGCCTCTGGCCATTGCGATGTCTCTACTCGTACCGACAAGCAGGTGCAATTTCACGCTTGCCAAAACTATGTTCACACGCAATTGCTGCATGTGCTTGTATTAATGGGGCGCCATGCTTGAAATAGACCTTTTCCTAAATTAGCCAAGCATCAAAATGTATGCTAGGAACGTAGGTACACGCGCTACACGCGTTCGCCTTACCTGTAATAAACATCCTAAGTAAAAAAAAAAATTAAGACATTGATGAAAGCGCTTGAAGAAGTGCCATTTGTATTAGATTTTTATATTAGAACAGTTACTGCTGCAGAAGGCTGTATGCGCAGCGCGTGCAACTACACTCGTACACGCTGCTTGAGCTTGGTTAATTTAGGAAAAAGTCTATTGTGGACTAGATTTACTGATGTTTACAAAATCACAGTCCAGCTTGCGATCTTCACAGTCCAGCACGTGCGTGTTCGTCACTTCAGAAAGCGAGCAAAGCACGCGCCATACGCACGAGCACTCAATCTGGCACTGGCCACACGCTCTTTCATGAAAAGGTCTATAGTAGGCTACAGCCAAAGTTAGTAGCCTGGGCGCGTACAAAGTGCCAATATTTTGTCGCGAAACATTGTAAAAGCGCCACCGCCGTGAAGTCAGAAGATCTGAATTCATGTAACCTCCGTTTTAGAGGCCCAGCAGTCACGTGACTTTATTTGCCATATTCCCTTTCAAAATTCAGTGCCATCTGGTGGCTCAAAAATCAGTTTCATTTTTTTGACATACTAACGGCGGATGGCTCACATGAAACTGTATTTCGCCGGGCACTGTCACTTTCGCACGCGTCAATGGCGCATCAGAGTTGGTCCTTCGACGACCTAATAATTAATTTTTGCTTTGTTTCAGTTTCGATAATCTGATCATTATAAAAAAATACCAGTACAAAGCGGTGATTCATAATCGCATTCAATACATTTTTTAGCAACACAAAAAGTTTTAGAGCCAAACTTTTGCCAAGAAAACTATTGAGCCACACTCCATAGTAAACGCCTACAGAGCCGTTGTATCTAATTTGTGCGTCGTGTTGTACTGACGCCTCGAAGGCCTCATAAAACACCTTTTTTCTAGATTTGGGTAGCTTCACCCGTTGTCAACGTCGAAAAGGCCGCCATTATTTTGGCACAGATGTCATACCCTGAGATGATGATAGTAATCGAGGCTGCAAGACTGAATTTTGAAAAGGGTCTATCGCGCGTGACCTGCATCTGATCTAAGCTACGAGGTTGACGCGCTTGGTGCGTCTGCACCTCGCTTTATTTTATTTGAAAATGCACGTTTTCGACTTCATCAAGGCGTTGCCATAGCATCAGTACGTCATCAAAGGCACCACGTGTTTTCTTTTATCATTTCTTTTTCGGCATTGCATAATTTGAGCCTTGTGCATTATCCGGACGCCAGGAAAATATCGCCGCTCTTTGTAAAGGTCTAATGCCCCTTTAAGTGTTTGCATTTGCTAGAAGTAACGCCAAGTGGTACATTGCAGAAGGCGCGTTCCTCGTACAACCGTTGGAAGCAAATTGTCGTGGAACCCTCGCCCCTGGCACGTGTCTCGCGCATTTGGATTGCAATGGTTGTCGATACATGTGAAAAACCCGAAACGTGAATTTTATCGAGAGGTTTAAAGAAAAACAAAAGTGTTCGAGTGGCAGCCGGCGCCAGGCAGTCGGCGTGTGACGTCCCCAAATATACTCGAGAACAACTTTGTCTGGCCAGGCAGTTATAGGTAGAGGGGCGCTTGCACGAAGGGCTATTAAAGCTGCGCACGCGCTCTCCTTCA